TGCTGTACAAGTCCCGAAAGGGCTCACCTGGCTGCTTCTCTTTGGATGTCTCTAATGACAAGGACCATACTCCTTCCCACCATAGCTCATGCCATTGTTCAATCTCCTAATGGTTCAAGTTGTGTTTTGTGTTGCTTCATTTTTCCTTATCGAATTCTGCCTCTCTCCCATGTTCATACTTTGACTGTAGCTCTGTTTTCTTACACTACCTTTTATTCATTAATTCCACACATATTTGTGAACTACTGTGTCAGCCATGGAGTACTCAGAAAGCCGTAAATAGACAAGACTTCTGTTTCCTAGAGACTTAAACATCTAGTCATCTCCCCCTCAAGGAAGAATAGTAGCATGCTTATGTTTCCAAAATAATTTCTCTTCATTACTTTAATAAGACCCTATTCACAATGAAAACATTTTAATATTTTGTGAAAATCTCTTTTGTTAGTTACCATTTCATATTATTCTCTTAGGTAGGTTTCCCCTCAAAGTGCAAATGTGGAAATCTAGGCTTAGAGAGGCAAGGTAATTTACTAGGTAACTTATTAAGTGGTGGAAAACAGATCTGAGTTGGAGTTCTGTGACATCATAACCTGGTTCTCCTCTCCTCTCTGACATAGAATTCATTCCTTGTCAATCAAAGATAAGCAAGATCGGCCTGGGGATTATGGGGTCTTGGAACCTTGTGGCTGAAAGGGAATTTAATTGTCATTTAAACACAAGACAAGGGCCCAGGATCCCATAAAAGTGGGACTCTGTCCTTTATGTGGAAACCCCAATGATGGGAAGTTCATTGCCTCATGAGATGAATCCATCTCTAGCTGGGAAGCCCTGAAGGTTAGAAAGCTCTCAGAACAAGACAGGACTATGGGGAGGTGCTCAATAAAGGTTTTTTTGAATACATGAAGACCAAACGGGCTGTAATTCCACTGCATGCTATTCCACTCTTTCTCATTGGTCTGCCTTCTGTAATAAAACTAAAATTAACTAGCATTTATCTGGGGTTTGTTATATGCCAGACTCTGTTCTACGTGCCTTATGTATATTAACATTTTTCATTCTCACAACTCCATAAAGAAGGCATTATTATTATTATTATTATTATTATTCCCATCTTACAGAGGAGGAAGATGAGGCCCGGGGAGGTTATTGATGAGTCCTAGGTCTCCCAGTGTGAGTGGGACCAGGCATCTGGTTCTAGAGCCTGTGTGTGTGGTGCTCCAGAGACAGAGGTTGTTCTCTCTCCCATTCACAAGGAAAGCTGCTCTGAAGCTCATGTTACATCTTCTCTGGCATGTGCTTCAGGGGCCCTTCACTCTCCCCTCACCTTTCTCTCTAAGTGTGTTTGCCTGAAACAGAGCTCGCCAGGCACAACCTGCCCCCACACAGGTGCAGGTGGTAGTGCTGCTGCCTGACGAGGAGCAGGCAGGGAGCTGGGGGCCCAGGAGCCTTATCCAGCGTGGAGGGAATTACCAGGGCAGGTGTGCTACGCCAGGTGGGCTGAGGTCCCAAAGAACTGCTGGTGGGACTCTGCTAGCTTTCTGAACAGAGGGAGGTTTGCATGGATGACCTAGACTAGATTGCCTTGTCCCTCAGAAGTCTGCCTTCCCAGGGAGGCCTTCCCCGAGCCTTGAGTACCCAGGTCCTCCTTTTCCTGGTCACTCTCGTTGTGATGGACACTTGATCACCCTTTCCCAGTCTTTGAGCATTGTGAGGGCAAGGCCAGCTTTTGAGCTCCACAGGCACAGCACCTTGACACGCGGCAGGCATTCAGGAAAGGCGTGTTGGAGTGGAGCATCTCAGGATCACGCCTCATGTAGTAGAATGGTTGAAATCACTAGAGTTATGGCTGGCACTGGCTATAGTTGTAACTTAGTGCAGAGTTATCTGTGTATAATCGGTGTGTATAATGGGTGTGTACTGAGTGTCTGAGTGTGATGTGTGTGTTGGTTGTGTTGAGCGTGTGACATGTGTATTGTGTGTGCTCTAACACCATATGAAGCACTTGACGTACTTTATCTCTACTAATCCTGAAAACAACCTTATGGGGCAGGTACCCTTATTACTCCCAACTGAATGACGAGGACAGTGAGGAATATAGAGATCAAGCGAAGCGGTGGGCCCAAGGTCATGCCGCTCACAGGGAACCGAGTAAGCTCAAGCCTGGTTGACTCCCAAACTCTAGTCTCTTCACTAGTCATTCTCAAATGAGTGTTTGCATCAGAATGCCCCGGAGGACTTGTGGAAACGCAGATCCCTGAGCCTCACCCCTGCAGTCTCTGATGGAATAGGTCTGGGGTGGGACCCAGGAATTTGCTTTTATAACAAGGTGGAGCTGATGTTGCTGGCCTGGGGGCCACACTTGTAAACCACTACTCTACATATATTCTCTCTAATCCTCAGACAGAAAGAGCAGGAGAGACAGTTGGGGCCAAAGCCAACGGTTTTGGATTCCTGTAAATTCTTGCAATTCCTGCAAATTGGCCCTAGTACAGTTACCAGCAACCAATGAGGAGTTTTAAAACTGATGTTTTAAATGTGAGCTCATCTTCCTCATTGAATAACTGGGTGTTTGGTTATAATGAATCACATGATAAAAAGGAAAAGTCAGCTTCCCACCGAGAAGCTGTGTTTGCATCTACAAGTTCCAGGTCTCTATCCTATGAGTCTTGAACTAAAGCACGGTAGGGTGCATCTTCCCAGGAGGAAACAGTACTGTGTATGGTATTCTCCATGCATTAAATATTTTTTCTCCTAGATATTAATTCCACATAAAAACACTGTTCCAGCCATTCTGCCGGTAAGGGCCAGAGCTAGAAAACCAGTATTTGGCCTCCTTGGTCAGTGTTCTTCCTCTGTATGGCATTGATGCTCCTCTGTGTGAATCGGGGTCAATACTACCTACCTCAGTGCTGTTTTGAGGAGTGTGTGGTATGCTGTATGGAACGCCCCTAGCAGTGTTTGGTATACAGTAGGCTTGAATGTTAGCGTGTGCTGTGTTGCTCTCCCTCTGTCCCTCTTTCTATAACCTCCACCCAGGATCAGAGATCAGAGAGGATCTGGGGTAACGACAAACAAGGAGTCAGATGGCTTTGCCGGCTCTGCAGTGTTTAAGGATTAAGACTGAGTGGGGTGATGAGAAAGTGGGAAGGTGCAGCTGTCCTGTTAATGTGACATTGAAATGAAGCACAGAGTATTTGCTGGTCCCTCTGTCTGGCTTTTACTGGAAATGCCTTGAAATTGAAATCAAGTGGTGGGTTCCAACCTTGGCTGGCTCCGGTGTGTTGGGCAGGGCCAGGGCACACCTCAACGGCTCTCCCATTAGAGAAATGGGTTTTCAGCGCATTTTGTGAGTCAGGACTTTCCAGACTCATCATCTTGAAATTCCATCTTGCAGAATTTATAGATGTTGGGTCCTAGGATCTGCCGCATTTTAATTTGGAATGTGAAATTCTGCGTCTTCAGAAATGTTTTCCTGGATGGCACCCTTGCCAGAGCTGAGACGCAGTTAAAGCTAATTAATCCTTTCTGCTCTTATTCTTGAGAGCTGGCCCATCATGACCCCATTAGCTGCAGTGAGGTTGGGCTCTGAACCACAGCAATGGTGCTCTGGTCCCTGAGGCACAGAAAGAAGAGGGGTTTTGAAAGGAGACCTAAGTGCCAATCACTTGTTAGCTAGGAGAGACTGAATCTCCTCTTACTTTCCCTCTTCCTTCTCTCTCATTCTTCCCCCGCCCAAGATGCCAGAGCCTTCCAGTTCCCCCACAACCACTTAATTGCAAATAATTACCTTCTATCTTATCGAGAATCCTCCTAGGCAGCTTGTATCATCCCCATTACACATGATGGTAAATTGAGGCTTGGAGAAAGTGAGGAGACTTACCAAAGTACATATCACTAGAACATTCTAGATTCAGAAAGTGGCTCCAGGTTAGAGTTTATCTGATTCTTTTCCTAATCTGCAATATGGAGCAAGAACTTTCATCACAAAATTCTTCTCAGACCAAACCAAATAACTTACGTAGAATACTTCATGCAGCACGAAGAATATAGCAGGTGCTCCATAAAAGTCAGTTTCTTTCCCTTCCTCCAAATTCCTGGTATCTCGATGATTTTATATCCTTGGAAAATCCAGCCTGCCTTGAGTCTCCCTCTCAGTTTGTTTCTCATCCTCGACTTGGACAACTTTAATTTTGTTCTCTCCCATCTTTCCCACCTAGCCCTCTTATTATTGGCCCTAGGTTCTCCTGGGTTGGAGAATTAGCAATCTGTGAAGTTGGGTTCAGCTTTTGCTTAGCAAGGTTACCCACTCCCTCTGCTTCCCATGCTCAGTAGAAAACAGATTGTCCTTGCCACTCCAGGTACCTTAGCTCTTTAGAGACTGTATTTATACTAATAATGATTGAACCATTTTCAGTTATTGTTATTAATCATTATTAATGGTATCTACCACTTATCAAGTATTTACTATACATCAGGAACTGTGTGCAAAATGCTCTATGTGGCAGATTTATTTAATCTTCCTATCATCTCTCAGAATTATATGCTATTATCAGTCCTCATGTTACAGATGAGGAAACTGAGAAGGGGAGAAGTTAAGTGACTTACCCAAGGTCACACAAGTAGCATGTGGAAGAGCAGGGATTCTTGCTCGGCTGGCCATGAAGCATGTGCTCATAACTGGGATGCTGTGGCCTCTATGGTACTGACAGGTAGTGAAGAGCAGAAGATGAGCTCAGCTTTAGAATTAGGATATCTGGGTCCAAGTCCCAGTTCTTTCAGGTGTGAGCTGCGTGACATTAACAAGTCACTTCATCTGTCTGTGTCTTTTCCTGTAACAGGAACCCCTGACTGATGACATCCAATGGACACATCATGGTCCTGTTGGTCAGATACTCTTGTCCATCTAAGTTAGCACTGTTTGATTTCCTGTTGTAGAAACCCAGGCTCTCTGTGTCTGGCTGATGTGATGTCAAGCTGTTAATTTCTCTCTTGTTTTTCAGGTAATGAACCAAAAAGATCATGTCTGAAGTACAAGGAACGGTTGAGTTTTCTGTAGAGTTACATAAGTTTTATAATGTGGATCTCTTTCAGAGAGGGTGAGTATGCTTCACTACTTGTATTTGTGTCTATATACATATATTTGTTTTGTTTTGTTTTTTCCCTGACAGGGTGAAGGTAGTGAGGATAGGACATTTTGGAATTAATGAGGGAAGGATTGTCATTATTTTTCCTGCCAAGTGGAAAATCCAAACCTTTAGTGCATTTGAAAACAAACCATATATTGACAAAGACTAGCAAATGCTCGTTTCTCTCCTCATCCTGTACTGCCTTCTACCGTCTCTCTTCTTAGTTGCTCTTTCCACTAAATCTGTCAGTCAGTTTTAAAGGAAAGTGAATTTATTGGAAATGAAGCTTGCCTGGGTAGCTCTGATAAAAAGGCGTCTGTATGATCAATATTTGAAGGGGCCATTTCCCCAAACACATATCATAAAACCTGCGCCAGATCTCTCAAAAACAGAGAATTTACAATGTCCTCTTTAAATATGTGATTAAAATATAGTTGCTTCCAATTGTTAAGGATGTCTCTGAATTTGGCATTTTACATGCATGATTTCAATAAGTCCTCATGATAGCCTTACCTCTCAGGGTAACTGTAAATAATAAAGTTGAAATGGTTATAGAAAGCATCTAACCACAGACCAGAACTACGTCTACTCGCAATGGCTGCTGCTACTTTCCCCATGTTACAGATGAGGAAACTAAAGTTCATAGACTGAATTTGTGATGTGTACAAATTAACGAACGAATGTGCAAAACAATGGGTATCTATTGGTTTACTTTCGCTGCTTGCGTAACAAACTACCCTAAAGCTTAGCAGCTTAAAACAACAACTTTTGATTTAGCTCACGATCCTGAGGGTAGGCAATTTGAGCTGGGCTCAGCAGGCAGTTCTACTGAGCTGGACCAGGCTTGGCTGATCTCAACAGGACCTGCTTGAGGTCTAGAGCCCTTGGCTGGGGGGCTGTGGCTCTCCTTTCTGTAGTCTCTTGTCCTCCAGCAGTCTAGCCTGGGCTTGTTGACACGGTGGCTAGGTCCCAAGAACAAGAGTAGAAACACACAACACTTGCTGCCTAGCCTCAGAACTTGCATAAAGTTGTTTTCACTGCCTCTATTGGCCAAAGCAAGTTGCAAGGATAGTCTAGATTCAGGATGGAGAAGTAGATACCATCTCTTAACAGAAGAGGAAGAATCTGTGCACATATTTACAATCTGCCACCCAAGGTTAGTCTCTAGTTTCAAAAAGATAGTTCTGAAATTAATGCTTCGAGTGTATTTATGGCCCCTTCTCATGCAAGGTGAAGTTCAGTGAGGCTGAGTCATTTTGGTAGGTGACCTGAATTGGGCAGTGAGGGGAATGGGAAATGATTCTGGGACCAGCTCTGTGTTTCAGGGAAAGGGGCACACGAGGGGTTCTGGAGCTGGATTTTGATGAAGTGGAGCCCTGTGTATCCTCTGGGGGCCTCATCACCCTTGGTCCACCTCTCCTCACTTGATCAGAAGCTACGTGCTGTAGTGAGAAGCACCCTGGGCTTGAGGCAGGCCTCCTGAGTCCTGGCTCGGCTACTGCTTCTTGGAGCGCCTTCGGTATATTACTCCAGTCTGCTCTGCAGTTTCCACATTTACCAGAAAAGGAAGCATTTTTGATAATGGCATGTGTCTGTCATAGTGTTAGACACTCTTCTATTTATTATCTCTTGAATCCTTGTAACCAACCACAGAAGTAAGTGGTATTATCTTTATTTTGCCAGACAGGTAACTTGGGACCAGAGTGGTAAAGCAGTACACAGCTTTAACATAGCAGAGTGAGGCCCTGGGGCTAAGGCTTTCTTACTCAAAATCTTATATGTTTGGCTGGTTTCTGACATGGGCTGCATTCTCCCTAGGGGTGCACAAAATATCCCTCAGGATGTGGGAAGAAAATATCAGAATTTCTATTTATAATTGTTTTAACCAAAAATAAGAAAGAAATCAAGCTTCATTAATAATCAGAATTCAGATTGACCCTGGAAAACTTTCTGTATCCATATGCTGCCAGCATGAGTTCTGCTCACTAACTCAAGTATCAAAAGGAAAGAGGCCACCCGACAACACAAATAAATGGACGGCGTCTCCCTCACATTGCAAAATTCTGTAGTTTGTGACTGGTCGGTTACGTACATCTATAAATTATTTTCTAGTTTTAACTACACCAGTCCTCTGAAAACAGCAACTGGATTAAAAATAAATGCTATAAGGAAATCATGAATTGAAGATGATATTAGTAATGAAAGTACAGCAAACATTGGGAAATGGTGGAACCACACGTATGCTCTCCTTCACAAGCCTATTGAGACGCACACTGAGATGCAGTGAGAAGGTAATCAGATCCAACAATCAGTAGACTGAGAAATTGGAACTTATTATAAAAACTATTTCACATGTGGATTTGTAGCCACAATTATCCATAATACTCCTCCTCCTCACTGTGTGTTGGGCTCCAGATAGTGACTGAGGCTTGTATGAAATCATCATAATTAGCAAGGCATTTTAAATGACACACCCAAAATTCAAAGAGACCTCTGTGCCGTTGGTGAAGGAGGCTGAAAGATGAGTGTGGAAATCGTAACTTATTCCACAAGCCTTTGATACTCTTCTCTTCTTTCTAGATCTGTGTGGTTTGGGGGAGGCATCTTTTTTAGTCAAACTTGCCACTGAGGTCTAGTATTGAATTAGGCTAAATTGAAACCAGAACACTGAATCACTGTAATGTGTATATTTGTAGTAAGAACAAAAATGTTATGTGTTCTAGTAACGCATAAAAATAATTATTTTTAAAACATGCATTATTATATTCCTTACCTCATCTTTGAAAAGACCTCTTTTAATATTTATAATGCATAGTATATGAGTAGAATTCTACATACACATGATTTATAAATAAATATGCATATATTGGGATGGCATGCTCAAAAATGTTTTTACTGCTAAGTATGCAAATCATTAATTGTCAGAGACTAGTATTCCAGCAGAACTAGGAGGACTCTCACAGCTTTCTTCTAGCTCTTAATGCTAGCCTTTCATGGTGTCAAGAGTGTGTATTTAGGCGCATACTTTGATGTACATGAGGGCATAATCTTGTGATTAGCTGGCTTGAAGGTGGGCTTCATTGCAGCTGTGTCCATGAACAGTCTGAGGCATCGTCTGGATGAAGGCAGTTAGACCTCTCAGGGGGATGGAGTGAATTCTAGGACCTCTAAGGTCCCATCAGCAATAAGACCTTGAAATTAACCGTCCCCAGCCCCCTGGATCCTAGCTGCAGGGAGCTGTGGACAGGCTGGGCAGGATGCCAGCCAGGATTCTGCATTTGCCAGGGGAGTTCCTGACAGGCGTTGTCCCTGATGCTCAAGCGCTAAGGATTTTTCTGCTCTGAATCCCACAGGAGCCATGCTTATAATGAAGTGTAATTACTTTAGCTAGCAAGCACTCCCTGGGGAAGTGACGGCTACAGTCTGAGCCTAGCGGGCAAAGTGGAGTCTGGGTGAAAGAAAGTGGGTGATCTCCTATGAGAGTAAAGAGAAGGAATTTGGGGATTTGGGAAAGCTGGCTCATTTTGGGAGTGTGAGGATGTATCATTAAATATGTGCTCTATAGGGTCCTTGGGATGGTAGAAATTAGAGTTGGGAGTTGCAAAAGAAGAATACGCTTCCTCTTGATGTGTTGTGAGATAAGATGCTGTGTTAGAACCACATGGATACAGAACCCGGATATTACACAAGAATTTACCCTGATTAGGGAGTTACTTGCTTCTAGTACATATATATTTGTGGATGGTTGTTCTAGTCCCAGGGTGCATACTGCCTTTTGGTAATGTTTGCTTTGAGCAAATAGTCAACTTGCATTTATCCAAAGTCTATATTGACTGAGGCGAATTCTCAGAGGAAACGCGTCTCCTCAAACCAGTCAACAAGGGTCATGAATTGTCCCCACTGTGCTCAGTAGCAAGACTCATCCTGACAAAGAGGCAGCGGCAGGGAGTATTGGGGAGCTGCTTGGGGGTCAGACCTGAATTTGAAGCCAGGATCTGCCACTTATAATATGGGAACGTCCCTTTAAAACACTCTGGGCCACTATTTTATCACTTGTAAAATGGTGATGACAAAGTCTATCTCATTGGGTAATCTGAGGGGTTATGGCATTAATTGCTTTAACTAATGTATGCAGAGCAGCTAGCATGGTACCTGGTATCTAGTAGATGAGATCTGAATTGTCACTACTACTAGTAAATTCTTGTCTCCCGTCTGTCCTTAACACTATTCATGGCGCTATTACGCTAAAGGGCTTCCGTGTTTAAAAATCCTCCAGCTTCTTTCTGCCCTCACTCCTCAGCCTTGTGCTCAAAGCCTAAAAGGGTTTGACCTCAAACTTCTGTCTTATCGTCTGTGCTCTGACCATTCTTGACCCTCCTCCTCTTAATATCTACCTGAAAATTCTACTCTATGCAAGTTCCAGCTCAAATATAAACTCCCCTCCAAACCATTTCTACATGTTGATACTTACCTATGAATCCCTCTTTTCCGGATTCCTAAAGCATATCTTGTGTTTTATTCTGTCACCACTCACACGTTCATGACTGTAAACACTAGTAAGCATATGTTATTGAATTAGGCTCTATAAGCATGAAGATGAAAGATAGAGACTCTGCCCTCAAAGTGTTTACCAGCTAATGAGGGAGACAGACACATACATAGAAAATGACCGTGATGTGTGATACGTTCTGTAACAAAGATAGGTTTGGGTACTATGAAGCGAAACAGAAGGGAGGAGCCAGTTTGTGGGCAGAGTCAGAGAAGGTGTCCTGGGAGGAGATAACAACAGAGCTGTCACTTGAAAGATGGGTGGAAGTCAGCTGTGCAGAGGACGTGAAAAGTCAGGAACAGAATGGTTCAGTGGTGTCAGGAAACAGAGCCCACCCAAAAGACCAAAGTGAAGTGAAGAGTCAGAATGGGGGCATGGATAGAGATAAGAGGATTACAGAATTTATGCCAGCCGATCTTTT